CAGATGGCTGCCCCTCTTTCCTCGAAAAGAGAGAACAGTAGTCGGGGAGCTTTTTTTTTTTTTTTTTTTTTTTACTGTGATGGGTTTTTGTTTCGTAAACAGAGTCCTGAGCCACAAATGGTAGTTCCCAAGGATGGTAGGGAATTAGTCCTTTCTTTGAGTCACTCAATACCATGGTCGGGCCATCTAGACAGACATAAAATAACAGCTTCGATAACATGTCATTTTTACTGGCCAGTTATGAGAAAAGACAGCGATATTTTGTAAAACTTGCCAGCAGTGTCAACAGGCCAGTCAACAGACAGTGTCAAGGTTCCTCCTAGAGCCCCACTTGAGCCTCTCCCTGTTATTGGGGTGCCTTTTTGAGCAGTTGGGTATGGATATTGTTGGGCCTTTAGAGAGGACTAAGTCAGGGAACCGCTATATGTTGGTAATTACTAGGGGTGTAACGATTCACTCGTTTTCTCGATGCATCGATTACAAACCCTGACAATGCATATGCATCGATCTTGAAACATGGATTTTTGAATCGTGAATCGTCGATTTCGGACAGTAATCGATTTAAAACGCTAAGAATCGAATGAATCGCGATTTCTATAGTGATTCAATGCTTTCAAAATATATACACATTAAATTACTACAAGCACGAATTAATGGATACCGTAAACAGTGTTCGTGCCCTCGCATTTTTCCTTCACGCGCTCCACTATTTACCGCCTGTGACTGTCACTAGATTGCGCTCGCACTCCGTTCGTCTCACTGACACATTTTCTGAGCAGCTGATGTGTGATCTCTCCTTAGTAGTCGTGGCCAGTAATGCAGTAATGTGAAGTAGTTTTACTTTTCTGTAGTTTTTTAATGGCTCTCGGTCATGCCGACGACATTACCTGAGAAGACGAAGGCTGCGCATTTATTGCATGGATGGAGCAAAAATGTAAGTGTCTAAAATAACCACAGCATTAACAACAACCTTGAAATAAGATCGCGAGGTTTATCTGATAATCAGATTCATGAAAGTAGCGCTCGTTGCTATAGCAAACAGACATCGGGCGCGTTTTCTTTCAGAATTATCATTTGCCGATGGAGAGGAAAAGTTAAATACTATAGAATTTTATTTTATGAAAATGAGATAAAGAAGTTTTCGCACTGAAATAGAAGTGATCTCGCGCTCAAAGAAGATCTGCCAGGAAATGCCTTATATGGACAAAGGCATATATCCCTGCAGCTAAGTTAAATAAAAAGCAGAATGAACTGGTGAAACGTTAAGACAATAAACACAATAAATACATAAAATTTATGAATGATTCAGTGCTAATTGACATATCATTTATTACAGTACAGAAACTATAAAGTATATTTTTTACCTAATTCTGTGCAGAAAATTTAAATAATTGTTTGTAGTAACCTATATAAAACAATCATAAAATTGCCATTAGGAAAAAATGATAGATTACAAATGACTGATTATTGTCCAGCAGTGCATTTGATTTCTTATAGCAAATTCAAAGTAAGATAAGAAAATAATTCTCCTTGTAAAAAAAAAAATAAAATAATAATAATAATACATACATACATACAATTACTGTATTTGACATTTCTGTCACTTCTGAAATGATGGCTACGCCCCTGGTGTGACAAAATGTTAGCCTATACATAATACTTTTAAAGCT